ATATACATGAACCTGAAAAAAGAACCAACAATTACACAAAAACTCATGATCATGAGGCAAATTAATTAGAGGCGATGCAGGGGTTGGTGGGTGGGTAAGCCAAAACAAACAAGTGTAATCTGCCAGCACTACGAGGAATGAAACTGAAGCTGGCAATACCAACACCCCTCAAAGACGTAATCGCTGATTGGTCAAAAGTTACTATGGACTGATTAACATATACTACGATACCTTATATGGTAAGACATCTAATTTGCATAGGTAAACACTATCGCTCTTCGAAGAAGAACACATTCCATAACCAGGTAAAAGAAAGAATTACAAAAATGAACATCAGGGAAAAAGCCTTATATCCTATAACACTTAATATTGCAAACATATATATATATAACAACAAACTATCACATCTACAACTACAGCAGCCAAGGCAATGGAAGGCTTACACAGTTATATATAAACTATAATTTATCATAACATATCAAATTATTCTTATAATTTCTCCTTAGCTGAAGACTGTGTGCATTGATGTATATGTTATACAGTATTAGAACATGTTGAAAAGGTCATAAATTTACACATATCTTGATTTTATTGGATAAAGCAACGCCAAGAGTCATAGTTACAAATGTATGCTAGTCACTAGCTGTTTCCTTTCACCTGCCAATGGTCTTTAATATGCAGACCTGCTAAATGACCCGCATCTTGCGGGTCACACCCGCAAAATCAACGTATCACCCGCAACCAACTCATGACCCGCGCAGGTCATACAAATCTCCCGCATTCCGACCACATGACCCGGAATCACCCGCCTCCTCACTCGTATTAGTATATCTTCCTATTTTTTTCGGAAGTGCTCCATTCGTGTGTCTCTGAGGTCTAGCATTCAGGTATACGTAAAGTCCGTACACAGTTCGAAATGTTTTCACAATGTAACATGAATATTTCATTTTCTCTTCATTTGAATATGGAGGGCCACTTTACATTTCTCATTTGTGAGAAATTTCATGTAGCAGTTTACAAATCAAGAATAATCTTTTTACCACATCCTCAACATTTCTTAAAGTAAGATTCTATAAAAAAAATAATAATGGGACATTTCCCTTGCTTGCATAATAGGTAAGTATCAGTAGAATATGATTTTCTACACATAATGACATTGTTTCTTTTTTCTCCTACAGACAAACCACTATTGTGTAGTAAAAAGGAAGTGGTACGTAAAATCATCAGACCAGGATGCTTGTATTTGGTGCTATTCGTGCAACTCATCAGGAGTCCAGGATTTTGACAGTATCCCACCAACAGTTACAGACAACTATGAAGGTGATCATTAAATAAATGTTTTGGTAATGACCCTACATATATATATATATATATATATATATTATGATACAGCGAAAGTGCTAAAGACGAGTTGACGAGGTTTTTCTTTTTCTTTATGTATTACTTCGTCCGTAGGGATCATACTTAACACTTTTATTATATACAGAACTCCGGCCCTCTATAATATGCGGGAAATATGCGACCCGCGCTCAGAGCGCACTTCAAACTGATATTTTAGAAACAAATCGTCACTTTCACACACATGTCGCACATGGATCGAAAGATCTATTCTTTATGCACAAGATAAACATACATAATATGCCCCAAACAACCAATACAATCACTAAAAACATTTTTTTTCAAACTTACTCTGTTTTACTCTAGTTTTTTTATAGCCCCGCCTTCTAATGCCACGTGTCTGCGTCATAGCGTTGGGAAATACCTTCGGTAACGCGAGATCTCGTCAAGTCATGTGACATTGCTCATGGCCTAATTTCCATTAAAAACATGGGTTGGTATAGAAAACGTTGGAAAATACTTTTCGTAATGATCTTTGAAACATGTTATTGATACCACCTAGTGCATAAAGAATAGATCTTTCGATCCATGTGTGACATGTGTGTGAAAGTGACGATTTGTTTCTAAAATATCAGTTTGAAGTGCGCTCCGGGCGCGGGTCGCATATTTTCCGCATATTATAGAGGGCCGGAGTTCTGACGTTAATCGACGACAGACCGATATGAAAAAAGTCGATAAAACGTCAGAATAATTCGGACTAGTATATATTTAAAGACACCTCCGGAATCGACTCACCAGTTAGGTGATAGATTTCAGCCTTTACTTTGTATAACCATAAAACCTAGATACTTTTTAGCTTACTGTGAATTTTTTAGTTCTCTTGAGTCGCAAAGGTGACCTATTGATATACATTTTTGTCTGTCATCAAATGGTGCATGTTGTGTGTAAAGAATAACTGTTCCAAATCAAAATCGCTACGGCCGCTCAAGTGGTGTGTATAAGTAATTCTTTCCCCGTTCATGAACACTGGAAAAATCCAGATTCAATCCCTATTTTGTGATGCATAATGTTTTCTGTCGAATGCTTTGCATTCCTCTTTACAATGTTCATACGTTCCATCTTATTTATGATTAATAATTTTCGTTCGGTTTGACAATGCTTTAATTTATGAAGCATATAATTTTACAATTAAAGACTTTCATTTCGGTAAATATGTGGTTATATGGACTAGTTCTTGTTCCGACTCCATGCAGGGCCAGTATTCATGAGGCCGTTCTCATGACTTATCTCAGATTCTGTGCTCAACCCTAATTTCTTCTTGCGGTGACAAATTAATAAATATTCTCGTTTTGTTAATGATTGTATCAAGTTACAAGAAGTTGGGTTGAGCACAAAATCCAGGCTTGAGAATGGGAATGGTATAATGAATACGGGCCCCGACGTTGGGAGAATATTGAGCTTGACCTGTGATCAACAGTTATGTATTCATTTAGATTGAGTAGAATAATATCCATAAGCCGTAG